TTATTGTGTGCCTCTTCGCGCTAATGATAATGCTTTTTCGCTTGAATGAATATTCCTTTGCGGTTAATGAACAGCAAAAGGTGTAATGTTAGATGTATTGATCATCACATTGATATTGTTTTGTACAGGAAAAAAAACCTTGAAGTATTATTGTCTAAAAATTGATAGAAGAGAGTACATATGCAATGAAAAAAAAAACAACACACACACACATTTGAACTCTGCTGAATAAAAATATTATTTTGAACCGTAAATACGTTTGATTTGATAGTTTATTTTCGTTGAATTCGAGGTATGCCTCCTCGTAAAATTGAGGATCAATTTGTTTTCAGGTTTTGAAATTGCCCTGTGGTACAGACTTAGAATAGTCTACAGAGCCCCTCACCGATTATATACCGACGACGGTACCGTTGGTACATTTGGTGAAAAATATAATTGCTTTTTTCGGTGGTACGAACTTAGCACGGAAACATGGCCCCTTCGCCAATTGCATACCAACGGTAAAGTACGTGTATTGAAACACAGAAGTGGTCTTCCTGTGGTGAAGGTGCATGGGCAAAAACAAAGTGGCAGATGCTCGAAGTAATAGTTCTTCGGAGACCTGGAGCAAAACATTCGTGTTTTACCGATCACAAGACCCACACTGCGTATTTTCACCGTCAACGTTTATATATTCTATTTGCTGATGACACTAATCTTCTGTATTCAAATAAAAATATCAAGATGTTGGAAACTGTAGTTAGAGTGCAAACAATTAGAGTGCAAACAATTAATCCATGAAACACTCATTACTAAATAGTACAAAATAGTGCTAATTAAACAATAGAAAACAGTGGAATTTGCATGAAATTGTGCTATTTAGTATTACTAAAGTTTCACGGTTATAGTGTTTGCACTCTAATCCGTGAAACACTAATTACTAAATGGTACAAAATAGTGCTAATTAAACAATAGAAAACAATGGAATTTCCATGAAATTGTGCTATTTAGTATTACTAAAGTTTCACAGATTTACTGTGGTCACTCTCAATGAACTAACTAAACTACATGAATGGCTGACAGTAAACAAACTAACTCTTAATATCAAAAAAACAAACTTCATTATTTTTCTGTCGCAAAAAAAATTCACCAACAGTAAATATCAATAATGTTTGCTAATAATTCAAATAAGTTTGTTTCACTTGTATGCAAAAGCTATGTTAAATATCTYGGACTGTTAATTGATAATAATCTTTTCTGGAAACCACATATTGATTTCATCAGCAATAAAATAAGTAAAACTGTTGGACTAATATACTTTCTAGATAAAGGCATTTTATCCCACAAAACATCCTTTTAACAATATATAAATCACTCATTCAGCCCTACCTTTTCCATGCCCTTACTGCATGGAGCCAAGCTACAAAAACTAGTTTGAATAAACTTTTATTATTACAAAAGCGAGCTATAAGATTGATCTATTTTGCTGATAGAAGAGAAAGTGCTATCCCCTTTTTCCAAAGGTTAACATACTTCCGTTAAATTTACAATACTTGGAATCTGTCTCTAGCTTGATGTATGATGTTGTCGATGAACTTGCATCACTAAATATTTGTGAATTGATCTCCTTTGTAAGCAGTATTCATTCTTATAATACTAGATCATCTTCATCTAATAATTTATATGCGAAATACTTTCGAACTAATCTTCAAAAGAACTCATTTTCTTGTTTTGGCGTTCATATGTGGAATCGAATTCCTAATTCTATACGGCACTTATCAAAACCGGCTTTCAAAAAGAAAAATAGACAGCTTCTCTTTGGTTATTTAAATAAATATGGCTATGATAATGAAATCTCCAATCTTTTTTCCTATAACTAATATCCGCGATATAATAATTTCATTATTTGTTCTAAAGTCAATATTTCCTCATTATATACTATTGAATTTCTTGTATGTAAACATTAACTTTTTTTTTCCTTTTTCTTCTTTCTTTCTTTTGTTAAACACAAATCCGCCCAGACTAGCTTAGCTATTTGCGGGGGAGTGTATTTTATTTAACGATTGTAAATGATCTTTAAATATTTATAAATTGGAAATTGGAAATTGGAAATTGGAAATTGGAAATTGGAAATTGGAAATTGGAAATTGGGTACAGGTATGGAAAATCTAGTTCCACTGCTCAATTTGTGAAAAAGGAATTTGTATTTTATTTAAAAACGAGACCCTGGTGGCAGGCTAGATCGGGTTAACTGGTTGGGAAAATTTACTAGTATCTGAGTCTCTAAGAATCTAACGGAAAAAGTGGTAATTAAAACTGCAAAATTTCAAACAACAGTAACGAAAACCGTTTAAGGCAGAGCGTTTATGTCATACTGATCAAAGTCATCGAATAACTGAATCTAAAACTCCAAACTCCAATCCAATTACTATCTGGATTTTGGCATACGTAATTAGGTTGTCGCGCCTTTTTTTCTCCATAAACATGCATATTCGCACGGACATTTTATAGCCTTGTTTAAAATCGAAATGCTTTATCTAAGGCGCAAATACAGGCTAATCTTTGCTCAGGATTTCTCTCAGAATTGCTCGATTCTTCATAGTTCTCTTGGTTATTCTATGGTTTGAAATTAGTAGACATTTTCTAAAAGAAAATTTTCATTTACGAGTGAGCTAGAACTGTTGAAATACGATTGATCTCAAAGGAAGGTTAAAAATGCACGCGGTTTAGAAATATATTTTCATCATTTTATTAGTCTTAATAACAGAATCAAAACTCAAATACACTTATATGTAGCTGGTATTGATATGTAGTAGCTTTGAGAGCCAAAATATAGCATCAAGTGATCAGAATCGGGTCAGCTAAATAATTTAAAATTCAAAGCCACTGATCAGGCGCGTATAGTTTTTTAACACGACTAGTTCATCTCTTTCTGTAATCTTCGATTACAGAAAATCTGCTTTGAATAGATTAATAAAAGCATGAATAGTTAACCAAAATAATCTATTGCCCAAGAAGTTTGAAGATTCTTAGAAATCCTCACTTAGAAGCCATTACGAATCCTTGTTTACGATTACGATGGTAAATTAATATTTCTAGTCGGCTGTCATGAAGTACAGCAGTCAACGAAATAGAACATGCGATAAGTAGACATAAATTTTTGTCAAGTTATCTGTTAGCTCCGCCCTTTCATAATCACTTGACAACATAGTGACAAGTGATTGACATGCTTATTGTTTGGACTACAGACGGGAACCCTACAGCAATAGCCCCCTTCACAGTTCCCCGCGCCATCTTGAAAGGTAGCCAGGCCTTTGCATCGAAGCGAGACGAACGGTGAGTTTGCAATGATAGAGACCTCTTTTGAACACCTTGGACAATTATTCACATGTCTCTTCGTCTCGCTTCGATGCAAAAGCACGGCTACCTTTCAAGATGACGCAAGGAACTGAGAAAGGGACTATTGCCCGCAAAAGTCTCTTGGGAAAGGCCCTGAAGACCTCAGGGTACTATTGCGCAATTTGTCCATTTTGTTTGAGAGGAATAAAAAAAAAGGCATTTTACGACTGTGATATCACAGGTGTCCCAGTAAAAATCGAAGGTATTTTATGAGCAGTTCACCACAAGTAACCCGCTATAAATATTAGTCTTTGACAGACTGAAGTTCTCTTCCTCTTTTGCAAATATGAGGTCAGTGCAACGCACACAAGCTTTACACCGCAATTACTGCGAATCACTAGTTTTCCATGGCCGACATTATTACGCTTTGAATTCTTGGTTATTTTCACTCGAAAAACAAAAGATAACCACAGAAAAAATATCAAGTTTAGTAATATATACCTTGGATGTCTTTTATTAAAATCCAAATTTTGGAGATTTCAGAAGTTTTTGGCCATAGAAAACTTTATCGAAGAACCTTTCAAGAACAAAACTAACCCCTTGGGTGGCTGGTGGTGTTTACATGACGAAATTCGTAATATATGTCATAAAAGTGAGAGAGTAGTGAGGTCGAAAACAAAGACACGTGCGAGGAAAAGGACGTAGTCATTTCGATTTGATTTTTTCACTGCATGGTTTTCACTATGGGGGACATTTTTTTCATCTCTAATTTAAAAAATTATCTTAGTTTTTTCCTCCTAGAGACAGCCCAAAGTTAAGGCGGTATTCCGCAAAAAAATCTAATAAACTCGATCGAGCGAAGTTTTATTGCTGATTAATAGTTGTATTTACTGAGTGACGTCTTAAGAAAATAATCAATGCAGATGTAGATCGTAGAAAAAATAGCAAAAGACGAAAAATAGAACAATTCTATTCTTATTGAAGGAAGTTCGGCCAGTTTTGTCATTCAAATAAGCCGTTCTGAATAAAAAGTAGTTTGATCGCTGCACATTACAAACAGCCGAAGCAATAATGTTCTTGAATGCTGAAATGTGCGAAGGTCTAACGAGAATTCGCTCCAATAAATAATCAGTAATTTACAGACTTGGATGAAGACAAAATATATAGCATTTCTAAACGAATTTCTATAAAATATTCGCTTAGTTCAGAGTGTGAATAAATAGTTTCATGCTATGTAAAATGTAGGAGCCGTGACCCTTGAAAGTCAAGATATAAAGTAGTAATGTAAATCAACCTAACGCATAACGCAACGTTTTTGGTTGATCGCCCCGATTGTATCATATAAAACGGCCGAAAATCTTGTATATTCAGTTTTGTATATTTTCAGCTCGTAGGTTGAATGATTCCTGGAATAAAACACACAGCCCGCCTTTTAATTTGAAGACAGAGAAAGCGTTTTCAAATAGATCTTCTTCCAATTTTACTCTATACTTGACTCAGTTGACTCCATCCAAGTCGAAGCCGTCTTTCGTGATTGAAGTTCAGACAATTAATTAATCAAAGAATTCGCTTCTAAACTCAACAAAATAACAAAAAACTAGATGATAAAAGGAAAATAAAATAAAAGAACTATTACTGATTTTACCAGCTAAGTTGAATATTTAAAAAAAATATGAAATCGAGCGAAATGCTTTGAATCCTTCGAATGTCTACAAGCATAAAAAGGGCACAGGGAGCCCATTCTCCAAAAAGTGCAACAAGTATCCACGAGTTCGCCAAAGGCTGTTTTTTCTTACCTTAATCACTGATGTAGCTTGCAACAGACTGAAGCATGAAACCAGAATTATCGAAGTGACGAACAAAAAAAATCCCTGAAGAGAAAAAAATATAACTCAACCAAATTAAACTTGAAAACTCAAAAAATTCTTTATAAAGCTTGTAGAAAAGAACACTACTAGATTGATATGTTAAGATTGCCTTGGAGGTTAGAAAAACAATATACTAAACTAATGATAATGATAATAAAACTTAATCAAAAAGAAAAAAGAAAAAGAAAAAAGAAAAGAAAAGAAAAATAAATAAAGCTAAATAACACAAAAAACATTAAGAACTTTCCTTATACTAATGAGGAATACCCCTATTTCTACTTACCATCGTTCAAGAGTCAATTTGTGATCGATCAATTTTTCAGTAGAGACTTCTTCAAACTCCGTCCTATGTCTTTTCATCAGTAGGAGAAGAATCTGCATCTATTTATATGGTGGCTTAATGATCTTTACATTACGTAGCTCAGTGCTGTGCAGGGGAGGGTTGGGGTGACCGAAGAATATTGCCTGCGGTTAAAGTTAACAGTTTCGTTTCAGCGATCGTGTTTTTACTTGTACTARATGCGTTGCTCTCATGCAAACAACGGTTTCATCATAACAGGAAGCATTAGATTGACATAGTTGCCAAACAACGAATCGAAGGTTTTAAAATGCTGTTTTTAATCAATGCCAAGTCCTTGTTTGGGCAAATTAAGAAATTAAAGTATGAGGGAATCACAGAAACCTGCCTACTATTCCATAAAGTTCTTGTGGTACAATTAAAAAGACTGAAAAGGAGTAGCTACTAATACCTCGCAGCCTTCTACGAAAATCAAAATTGTCCCTATTAAATTAAAATTTGAATAGAAGAGATCCCAGGTTAAATTCATTGCACCTCCTATCCAGTTCAATTTTCTTTCCTTTTATATATTTTATTGAGCAATGCAAAGGACACCACGGTAAATTATATAGTGAGCAAAGACAAGAGAGAGAGAGAGAGAGAGAGAGAGAGAGAGAGAGAGAACACTCGCTCGTATTTGATCTGTTTTCATTTTTTCCCTTTCGTACATACAACAAGGGCAGCATGAGACAGTTTAATTTTGAATTGACTATGAATCATGGTACTGCAAAGTATATTGATATAGTAAGTAGTAGTGAACCCCCCCCCCCNTGGCCTGTCCATTTACAATCTTTTGTTTACGTAACTAATTCGAGTTGTATCAAAAAACAAAAATCGCACTTAAAGTTTCTAATTTAGCTCCAGTTTCTAATTATCTGCTTAGAACTACCAAATTAAGTTTAAAGTAAGTTGGATTAAGCCACTCTTACCACGAAAACCAYATATGTTCAACCTCTTTCACCTCCTCCGTGTCCCGATCTTACAGATCTCAACATGCATTTTCACCTCGTGTTTCACCAATGTCAATCATGACGAGGTCCACCAATGGCATTCGTAACACTAAATTCCGATCATACCTAACTCAACAAAAACAAATGTACTGTGCCCATAGGCACAGCACAAAAAAACTAGATCCTTCATTACTTGAACTTAAGTCTTCATCATCAGTATAAAGCATCGAAGTTATCGTAAGAGAACTACTGCAGAGGTTATTCACGTTCATATCGAGAGCTGAAATATCGTGACGCTCCGTCATCTTGGGGAGGGGTGGTCTACATTCCTGAATGCCCTCTTGAGAATGTAGGGGGAGGGGTGGTCTACATTCTTGAATTTGCTCTTTGTCCTGTTCTGCGTTGAACAGCGCAGGGTTAAGAACACGACCACTTCTCAACTTCATGGTTTACGAGACTCTCTAAGGTCTCGAAGGTACGAAGTGGTGATTACGTCTCTAATTGAATGCCCTGTATCCTCTCTTTCAACTTATATATTCTTTCGGACATTCCACAAAATGTATCCAAGTATTTACTAATTTTTTTTCAGGCAGTGCTCAGGAATTTGGTAAAAATTTTCAAAGGGGTGTTCAAGAATGTGGTAACACTCTCAAGGGGGTATTCAAGAATGTGATAACATTCTCAAGGGGGAATTCAGGAATGTAGACCACCCCTTTTCTCTACATTCTTAAGGGGGTATTCAGGAATGTAGACCTCCCCTCCCTCTACATTTTTTAGGGGGTATTGAGGAATGTAGATTAAGGAATGTAGACCACCCCTCCCCTACATTCACAAGGTGGTATTCAGGAATGTAGACCACCCCTCCCCCTACATTCTCAAGGGGGTATTCAGGAATGTAGACCACCCTCCCTCTACATTCTTAAGGGGGTATTCAGGAATGTAGACCTCCCCTCCCTCTACATTTTTAGGGGGTATTGAGGAATGTAGATTAAGGAATGTAGACCACCCCTCCCCCTACATTCTCAAGGGGGTATTCAGGAATGTAGACCACCCCTCCCCCTACATTCTCAAGGGGGTATTCAGGAANTAAGAATGTAGGGGGAGGGGTGGTCTAAATTCCTGACTACCCCTTAAGAATGTAGGGGGAGGGGTGGTCTAAATTCCTGAATACCCCTTAAGAATGTAGGGGGAGGGGTAGTCTAAATTCCTGAATACCCTTGGAGAATGTGAGGGGAGGGGTGATCATGAAGATGAGCGAAATATTTTAGGGGATTAATGAAATGGAATGTAGAACAGGGGTCAAAGTACGAATTGCAATCACCAAGGCGGGAATTTGAAATATGACATGGAATAAGAATCTGTAACAAGAAATATTTTTAGGTTATTACGGATAAGACCCTAGTTGACAGGTAAAACTGATGGTGCCTGTCAACACTGCAATGTTAGAGCTCGAAATCATATCAAACATGTACATTAATTATGACACCAACTTCATTTGTAAGARACAAAATATTTTATTTCACTTTTCAATAAATGTAACAGCAAATCCAAAACAATAACAATATGTCTTTGGTATAATTATTTTCTATGACGGCGGATAATAGTACATTCGAGAGCCCCAACTGGGTACTTGCTGCTGTCCAGTAGCTAATCCACTCTGCTCTTCCCTTGTTGTCAGTTCCATTTCCGGACCGAGCGCATTAAAAATAGTGTCCAGTTCAGAAGTGGTGAACATTCTTGGTAAATAATCTTTTCCTAGTTGTGCCTCGTAATTTTGCGCACTGCCATCATCCGGAAGGATTTGAATGGATCCAGAGAACGCGGTTGGCTCCTGATGAAGATCGGTGGTTTCGGACTGACTGGATGCAGTAGTAGTTGCCTCATTGTTCACTAACTCCGTATCCACTGTTTCATTTGCCGATTTGAGTGATGTCCATTCGTCTAAAGTCAAAGACACTCCTGAGCTAGTTAGAACCGTCTTCCCGCTCGACAAATCTTTTTTCTGTTTGCGGATACATATTTTTTTCTCCCTTCGAACATCCTTCACAAAAATAGCGTATCCACGATCTCCTATTTGTATTAATTTTCCAGATGACATGTTAACTTATCCGTACTCTGGCTGGATTATAGCTGAGTGCAAGTGGGGTTTTTCCGACGAAGGTGATGAGCAAGTGATTCTGCTGATTTTGATCGGGCTTTTAAACTTTTCTCTCCATAAAAATATGTATTCATATTTCATATTTCAAANGCAATTTTTTCCAATGATATCTACTAAGGTTGCAATTGGGACGTAAGTTCCGTTCCTTTCTCTCGTCACATCCCATTCATTTCAACTTTTCGTACTAACGTGCAGTCAGTTATTGTTATTCAAATCTTTTTGTAATATGTTTTTATTTTGGTGTGACGAACTCATTAAACAAAACTGAATATTCCATCATCTTAAGCCTTTGAAGTTTCGTGCGCCATGTTGGGGTCACTCAGTGGAACACCAACGTGGCCGCTCTACACATTTTGGCAAAAATCGCGTCTTGTTTTCTCATCTATAATTCGGCAACGTAAGGCTCTACAGCCTTTAAATTTGACCAGTATTTTAAAAAAACGTCCCTTTTTCACGAGGGTAGCACTTAATAGCCAGTGGCTAACAAACCTGTGGCCCTCATGCCATGATCGAATTGAAATATATGTAGTATATCCTGCTCTAGAAGATTATGAAACTTTTATTTTATTATAATGCATAATAGCCCTTTTAAAATAAATGTTGACGTAGTCAAAAACTGATAAAGAATACTTGCTTTCACATTGCGCTGTGGGTTAATATTCACTTATCCTCTCGCCTCTATTGATCAATACATTGTTTTGAATATATTTTTTGATATTGGAAATCTCGTAATTTTGGTCGTTTTCATCGGAAACATATTCAGACTTCTCAGTGTTACTAATCTCGATATGTTTACTGTCAGTTTTATTAGATTTAAATTCAAAACTCGCCCCAGGCGAAAGATACTAATGCTTGATTGCGCAACCATCATCGCACTAGGCGTGGAGATGCAGTGGAAGGTAGACGGCACTTGTCCTAGAGAGAGGGTAGAAAAAAAGGTACGAGTATTCCAAAACAAGCAGCCTATATATCCCGAGGGGAACAGGGGAATGTAGCCGACGTCTTAACAACAACGACAAAAACAACAATGACAACAACAAATTTATTTCACGCCTACAAATGCGTTATTGGAAATCAGAAATGTAATATAGCCATGAATTAAATGATCAGACGGCTACTTATTTCAACTAAATATTACATAAACTTAGTAGCTGATTTGTCATGTTCATTAATCTACGATTTCCCATATACAATGTTTTGTAAATTGCGCATAGAATGAACGATAATAATCAAAGATAATAATTGCCAATTTAGCGGACCTCAATTTGTTTTTCACTACAAAAAAAAAAGAAAACAACAACAAAAAAAACACACACACAAAGAAAAAAACTAACATGCAAATTAGCCTATCAGAGCGCGAGAAATTAACGAGTTTTGTAAATATCCGAACTCGTGTTTAATTTTTAGTATTTTGGTCCTTCCCCCTTCGGGGGAAATAATGCTATTACATAACGTCTAAAAACGAATATATAGATCAGCACAGGTTTTACCGTAAGTGCCACTTTCCCTAACGTTGTACAGATCGTAAGTAAACCAGACCCTTAGTTTTTCATCCTTCTTTAGTGGCAAAGGAAGATCAGAAGTTGGGAAAATCAATTCAGAACTTGACACATTTATGTTGTCAATTTTGAAAGTCAATCCTGTATATCCGCGATAGCCAGGATAAGGTGCAATTTTTCTTTTTTCCTCGTCAGTAATTAAGAAACAAAGAGACCGCGGCTTAGAATTATCTCCCCAGTATCGAGCCGTTACAGGGTTATTGGTCTGGGAGACTCCCCCCGAGAGATACACGAGCTTGAATTGTTTTACATTTATATCAAATGGAACAATAACCTCCCCATAGTCATCATTATTTACACCGATGCAAACAGGAGCTATGTTTATTTTGATCCATGCCACCATTCCTAAGAAGACAAAAAGAAAGGAAAAAATAACCATTATAGTCCCACACGAAATTAGTCTCACGCCAAAGATTACACTTTAGCAAGAGAGTTGGTTAACTGTGAAAGACCCATTTCTATCTTATTGGTTCAATTCTTTGACATTCTTTAAATTAAAAATGTTGAGGGGGGGGGGGGGG